TATGTATGTATGTATGTATGAATTATGTATGTATGTATGTATGTATGTATGTATGTATGTATGTATGTATGTATGTACCGTATGTATGTATGTATGTATGTATGTATGTATGTATGTATGTATGTATGTATGTATGTATGTATGTATGTATGCATGCATGTATGCATGTATGTATGTATGAATGTATGTATGAATGTATGTATGTATGTATGTATGTATGTATGTATGTATGTATGTATGTATGTATGTATGTATGTATGTATGTAAGTAAGTAAGTAACTTTATTTGTATAGCACCTCTCACAGACAAAAAGGTCACAAAGTGCTTCACAAGTTAAAAGGCAACACCATATAAATACAGTAAAATACAGCCACAATATACATAGTGTCAAATACAACCAATCCGAATGAGACTAAGTTTAAAATGCCTGGAGAAACAAATGGGTTTTAAGATTGCTCTTAAAAACATCAACTGAGTCGATTGAGCGTAAAGACAGAGGTAGCTCATTCCAGAGCCTAGGAGCGACGGCCTGGAATGAGCGATCTCCTCGTGTCCTGAACCGAGTACGTGGGACCATTAAAAGGTTTTGATCCAGTGATCTCAGCCTGCGAGAAGGCGTGTAAGGGCAGAGCATGTCTCGAACATACAATGGAGCCAGACCATGCAGCGCTCTGAAAGTCAGCACAAGAATTTTAAAATTGATGCGAGATGAGATTGGAAGCCAATGAAGAGCTTTTAAAATGGGGGTAATTTGGGCCCTTCTGTTGTCACGGGCCAGAATTCTAGCTGCACAATTCTGGACTTGTTGTAAGCGGGACAGCTCTTTTTTGTTTAGACAAGAAAATAAACTATTACAGTAGTCTAAACGGGATGATGTAAACGCATGAATAATCAACTCAAGATCAACTTTAGACACCATTGTTCTGAGTTTAGAAATTTCTCTCAAGTGATAAAAACAGTTTCTAGTTAACTGCTTTGAGTGATTTTCAAGAGACATTCCCTTGTCAAAGAAAACGCCAAGGTTTCTAAGCGTAGGTTTTACAGACAAACTCAGATCACCTAACTGCTGGTGAATCCCTGGAACAGCATTATTGGGGGCAATCACCAGTACTTCAGTTTTGTCAGAGTTCAGCCGTAAGGCATTTGCACCGAGCCACTGTTTGATTCGCTCAAAACAAGATAATAGAGAATGCATTTTTTTTTACCTCAGAAGGCTTGAAAGAACAATACAGTTGAAGATAATCAGCAAAGAGATGATAGGAAACATCATCGGCAAACTCCTGGATTAGGTTTCCTAAAGGAAGGATGTACAACAAGAACAAAACCGGGCCCAAAACTGAGCCCTGGGGTACTCCACACCGTAGATCAGTTGGGTCAGACAGGATCTGGTTGACTGAGACACTTAGGCTTCTCCCGGATAAATAGGATGTAAACCACGCCAGGACAGAACCTGACAACCCAACCAACTCGCGGAGCCTACTCAGCAAGATCTCATGGTTAACCGTGTCGAATGCGGACGAAAGGTCTAGCAAAACTAGGACCGTGCATTTCCCAGAGTCTGCAGACATCAAGATGTCATTGGACACTTTAAGCAGCGCAGTTTCCGTAGAGTGGTGCTTACGGAAACCGGACTGAAACCTGTCGAAGACATTGCGATCCTGTAAGAAGGAAACCAGTTGTTCAGATACCACTTTCTCTAAGACTTTGGGCAGGAAAGGGAGTTTTGATATCGGTCTAAAATTTTTAGGATCTGTTGGATCCAGGTTAGATTTTTATTTTTTATTTTTTATTTTTTTGTATGTATGAATGTATGTATGTATGTATGTGTGTAGGTAGGTATAGATGGTAACTTGTGAAGTAAATTAGTAATGTGAGACAAGGGGGTGGGATTGAATAAACACTTGCTTCTTCTTACTCCCTTTGGACAAAGACTTCTTTTTTTATTGGTATATGTTTTCTTTTCCACTATGTTCATAGATTTTTTGAAAATATTTTGTCTTATGTTCAAATAAATGTTTCAATCCATCAATCAATCAATCAATCAATCAAAATGACATCTATATTTCTTTCTTTAACTACACACTGTGATAAACACCATTTGGAGGCGGCACACACACTTTCCAGTTTTCTGTGGAGTGTACAGAGACAAGCATCCGCTGTGGGTGGGGCCTAAACAGCTGCTTGATCAGGTGAAGGATTAATATTTCCCTTTATGCTGAAATAGTATTTAAAAGCAAGCAGCAGCTGGAGTCCTGTGGCATCAGAGTAAATGAGGAATATGTTTCCTGTGCCACAGCGCAGCACTTCCTCTTGTCTGATTCATAAGGTCTAATATGAATATCTAATTTCCCTCTGGGATTAATAAAGTATCTTTGAATTTGAATGTTTAATTCGAACTCTTTAATAGGTTAGATCTGTAGTTTTTATTTCTGTATCAGTGTGACATGACCACAAAACATTGTACTAAACAAAAAAATCGAATTCAATTAGCAGTCGTAGCCAAGTTCAACAAATCCATGCAGATGGATTTATAATGAAAATAGTGAAGTTATGTGAACATGCATCATAAACCGCTATGGTGTGTTTAGCCATCGTTCTGCGACTTTTACCTGCTTTTTTCTCAACCTGACAACTTTAATCGGCCATTTAGTTGTTTCCTCTCAGTGTCTCACACACACACTGTAGCATCTGGGCTCTTCGCTACTTCTATAGCAGCACATTTTCATGCGACTGCTCAACTGAGTTTAATTAGTGCACATGTGTTTCAGACTAATGTCTGCATGTCAGAAAAATACCAAACGGGTTTATGCATTTTCATGCTGCTGGGCCTGTAAAGACCTTCCGTTCTCTCGTAAGTTTTAATCACCACCATGTGCCACCTGCTGACATGCACGGGTGCCTGCAGTCTCATTAAAATGTGAACTCTCTGCAATGTTTTCTAATTAATTGTGTAAAAAAATCATGATTTGAAAATCAAATAACATATTTGTCCATCATCAAGCAACCTTAAGGTATAACCGATCATTTTCTCATCGTCATGCAGACATTTTTCAAATGTATTGTTATTTGTTTATTATTATCGATGAGCATCATAGATCCTGGAATTATTGCTTCATTTTTTCTTTGAATTGATTTCTCAAATAGGACACGTTGGAAATAACTTTATAATTTTAATCTATGTGATTCCAGAGATGTTGTTTCTCTGGTAACTGGAGAGTCGTGGAGAGCATTCTGGTGTTTGGTTCCAGGTTTATTTGTCCTCCTGCAGATGAGTATTCTACCACCAGCGTTCTGCTGAAGCCAAAACAAATGTCATCAATAAGTGTTGGAAGTGACTGAGAGAACATGCTCGTCCATGTCGTTCTGCTGTGATCGTGCACGAGCCAGATTGCTGCTTTGGGTTTTGGAGTCTTGGCCTTCCAGCAGATGGTCTTCAAGCCAAAGAGACCTGGGGTGAATTCTCAGCCCTCACGGCTCTGCTGCTTTGCACCAGCGGACTGATTAATGATCGAACTCTCCGTCTCTGTTTTTCTTCTTTCTTCCACAATTTGACGTCACTCTTCCATGCCGTCGTTTCACATGCAGACTGGCAAACTGTCTATTTTCTTGTTGTCAAAGACACAAAGAGAGAAGTGTGAAATGTCCAAAAGCTGCACTGTTTCTGCATTTCAGATGAGCGATTACTGTGGGTGAAAAGCTGGATTCCTGATCTGAAACAGCCAAATGTTTGTTCAGTCGGTCACTTTCATGGCAGACAAACGCTTTCTTTGATAGGTTTAACTTTCCTTTCTTCCCCGTCTCTCTGCAGAGATTTACCTGCGAGTGGAAGATATGAGGCTAGCGAGCTGCTTTCGGACCGTTTGCTTTCTGCTGCTGGTAAGCTCTCACACCTCAATTCTCTGGAGTCACAGTGAAGTAAACTTCTTACCCTCCTCATTTGTATGCAGAACCCGTGTGCAGAGCGATCAGTGTGCATTAAATGAACAGGTTCAATTCATCAGCAAAAAACCTCATGATTATTTTCCTCTACCATCAGGATTGGGTTATTTAATTACCTCAGCCTTGCTAAGAGGAAAGATTCAGACTTGCATTTGTTTCTTTGTGTTATTGCTTTTGTAAAATTACTGGTCTGGAGACCAACGAAAATAAAAATGCTAATTCTGTGCACATTATCGTGTTGTTATGCAGAGTCCATTTAGATGTATTGTTACAGTGAGCACTATCATCAGCAACAGAATAGACGCACAGTGCGTCACAGATGCAAGTTCTTGGCTAATTTGGAAATTAAAAAGTTTAAATCAGGCGTTTTTTGGTACTCTGTCATATAACGTGCATCTAAAAACTATCGTCTTACACAAAGCATAAGAAATTATATAACACAAATGCAGTGGAGATGTGAATGTTGATCTGAGGTTTCTCTGCATTCATCACAGCTGAGTGGGGCTGTGTCCTGGCACATTAACAGTGAGAAGCAACATTAATAAGACTAATGCACTTGCTGTAATGATCAATCACACATCTCAGCGAGGCACTTAAGAACCATTCATCATACCTGGTGGCACTTTTAGTCATTAAACCCACAGCAATTTAAAAATGATGGTATTACAGTTAGATTTGTTTTTAGATGGTGGTGGGTTTACAAATTACAGGTTTGGGAATGATTTATGTTGCAACAGTTTTTTTAACATTTTTACACATTATTAAGTAATTAACAAATATTCAAAAATGGGAATTTCTGTGATTAATGTTTATTGATAATATAATATAATATAATATAATATAATTTTATATTATATTATGTAATATAATATAATATAATACAATACAATACAATACTATACAATTCTATATTATATTATATTATATTATATTATATTATATTATATTATATTATATTATATTATATTATATTATACTATATTATATTATATTATATTATATTATATTATATTATATTATATTATATTATGTAATATAATATGATATCATATAATGATAAATGACCCGCACTTGTATAGTGCCTCTCAGAGTAAGGACTCCAAGCGCTTTACGCTACAGTGTATCATTCATACATTCACACACACATTCACACACTGAAGGTGATGAGCTACGATGTAGCCACAGCTGCCCTGGGGCGCACTGACAATAATATAATATAATATAATACAATACAATATAATTTAATATAATATAACATAACATAATATCTCAATATATAATATGCACTGGCAGTTTAAGGGTTAATGGTGTTTTGCTGTGAATTAGAGGAAAGCTTGGACGTGCTTTTGAAGGAAAACAGAAGATATCTTTCGTTTATTGGTGGTGGCCTGGTGGTCGTATGTATGACGTCATTTACTTCAATGCTTGGGAGTGACATCATATGTACGGCTGCTAAACTGCTACACGGGACGTCGTTTCTCACTTTAAGAGGGGGAAGGTAAGAGTATTTTGATCTTCTTCTGACTGATGGAGTTGTACTTTTCATATGTGATAAGACATGTGGACACAATCCTTGCAAAGTGTTCCTCAAACCATTCGTGAAATGCAAATATGTAAGCCTGGCACTCAGAGAGGCTTAATTTTCAGCCAACAATCAAAAAGAAAGAAAGAGATAAGTCCCAGCAATATGGTTTCTTTATCTTTCGGTAAGCAGCTTGATCTAAATCAGCATTTCACACCAAGCACTTTTTTATTTTAACACTTCCTCCAAATACAAACAACAGAGAAGTATTAGGATTCATCTGGAGAAAACCAGCTGCTTTTCTCCTTTTGTGCACATTTTAATGAGAAACACACTCATGGGAAGATCAAGGAGACACTGTGATCACATACACTGCCTGTCCAAAAAAGAGTCGCCACCTGGATTTAACTAAGCAAATAGGTACGAACCTCCAATTGGATAATGACTGCATGGGCCATTATCTTTCAGCTGGCAACAAGTAAGGTGTGATTCACTGAAAATCCTTTTTTAATGATTATTTCTGATTATAATCAGACAGAGTTTTTCATGCAGGTTGAACAACTCCTCCACCTATCTCCTGCATTAGCTTGTGATTGTCACTCAACATTGATGGACTCACTCATCTCAGAGGAAGGCTGTTGTTGTTTTTACGTCCGAGAATTAGCAACAGACGTCTCGGCTAGCATAAGTTAACCGTTAGCATTAGCAACTTCACCACATAGCTACAGGGCTTGTTGCAGTTGGTCAGGTCTAGGTTCAGCAACAGGATGTGCTCCAAGAATGAGGTCAGCTTACTACCTGAATATCCTGAATGACCGGGTTATTCCATCTTCCTTGATGGCATGGGCATATTCCAAAATGACAATGTCAGGATTCATCAGGCTCAGACAGTGAAAGAGCGGTTCAGGGAGCATGAGACATCATTTTCACGCATGGATTGGCCACCACAGAGTCCAGACCTTAACCCCACTGAGAATCTTTGGGATGAACTGGAGAAGGCTTTGTGCAGCGGTCAGACTCTACCATCATCAATGCAAGATCTTGGTGAGACATTAATGCTACACTGGATGGAGATAAATCTGGTGACGTTGCAGAAGCTTATTGAAACAACTCCACAGTCAATGTGGGACACTTTGGTAGTTTTATCATCTCAGCTGATTCTGTTTACAAAAGTGAAACTTACTGCCCGTGTTCATTTTAACTTTCAATATAGATGCCGGGTGGAGCTCGGCGGTGATTCCACACGAGATCATGACACCACTCTCTGTTGTGCAGTCCAGTATGATTACTACCAAGCTTGATGGCATGACAGCCGTAAAATTGTTGCATTGCCATTCCACCACTGCGCTTTCAAAAGACACACCGTGGCACCAGTTTTACGCTGATTTACTGGCACGGTGTGTTTTATGAAAATGGCTACGTTTACAATCTGCCCCATACTTCCTGGTTCCAGAGTCTGCGCTGACATTTGTAACTGACACCAGCTAGCAAAACAGTAGAGTTGTCACGATAGATAAAGGCAGCACCCCAAAGACGCCACGGCATTTTCTTTTATAAACATTAATTAATATCAGGTGAAACAAGCTAACGTTGAGCTAACAATGCTAACGGTGAATTAGAAGCTAATGGTCGGACGCATAAGAGACCTGGATGATGAAGCTCAATGGTTAAAGGAATCACTGAAGCGGTGTGAAGCGCTCCGTCGCGCGTCTAGGCGGTACCGTAGGAGGTGAGCCGCCATGGTTCGCCGTATGCTACAGGAGTGAGCTATCTAGGTACGCACAGCGTCCCCCGGTCCCCTCCTCCTCCCCCTCCCCCTTGTCCGGAACTCTACCTCACCAGTCTGAAGCAGCCACCCTGTCCGTAACAAGTCTGGACCTGTTACTAGGGGCTTCGTCCGGTTAAATTCCGGAACACGTTATCCGGATGTTTGTATTCAGACACAAAGGTCTTACGGACAGAGTCTGGAACATTTCCGTTTTCATGGCCTGTCTGAAGGGGGCTCATGACTTTTACAACTCATAAGCTTACAATAATCATGTGATGAATGAACAAGATGTTTAAATGAAATGTTTGAATAACCTGTGCTTAAATCAATGAATTTATGTTCTTACAATGATCCATTTATATCACAAATCAGTATGTGATTGATTTAACAAGTTAATCTTTGTTTACACTCATACACATTACGATAAGATGCTCATTGAGTTTAATATTCACCTCACATAGGAGTTTTAAAGATTCTTATTCACAGTGTTAAAAACATCTTTGTATCTGCAAGAAGGCGTGGCTTTCTGAGGGATGTTGGTAAATACTCAGAAACGTGTCAAATTCTGATAAGCCAAACTTGGCCAGAAATCATAACAAAGTAGTTTAATAAAACAAGAATTACTTCCTGATTCATTCGGTTTCCAGCTGACCCCGATTTGGCCAAATCGGGAAAGAAGCCTCTTTTGAAACAAACTCCTTTGACCTTAAGTCAAAAACCTTTCTGCAACGCTGCAAGTGATCACAGACACAACAGCTCTTCAGAGCTACTTCACACCCGAGACACCTAACCTGCAGACCCCGGGTTGCATCTCATGGCCGGGGAAGCTGAACTCAGAGTAAGCTACTAATCTCTGAGCATCGTGGTTTTGACGTCTGGTGACCTCACCACTCTGACTGCAACCCTCTGGACCACTGGGAGCAACTCATACAAGTGTCACGCAAGCCTGCATACTGGTGTCTAATGAGGCCTATAAATAAACAACTCTCTAGTTTATAACAAACAACAAATTCTTTTACACCCAGATTTCACAATTCAATTCAAGTTTATTACTATTGCGCCACATCATGACAAGAGTCGTCTCAAGGCACTTCACATAATTAAACATTCCAGTACAGGTCAGTTCATTAAGCCAATCAGAAAAAAGTTTCTCTCAGATACAAAGAACGGTTGTTACAACCTTTAGCTTCCCTCATAATACCTCAGATCCACCATATCACATCTCATTATTCATATCTTGTCATGTATAAATTATTAGTTAAGGAAAAATAATTAAATTCATTCTATAAACTTTAACTGACTCTGTCTGCATTGATAGGAAGTGTGTTTATGGTCCCTGAATAAGCAAAGAAACCTAGAATCTTCTGATTAAACATTCAAAGGTCAATCAGATTGATATTTCATATTTATGTGGAATAATCACAGCTTATTGGTCATAATTAATATGTATTAATTGCTACATCTCTACAGATCAGATCGACAGCAGGAAGTGAACCAACCTCAGACCTGAGCATTGGGAAGTGGCAGAGAGAGCCTTTGCTAATCCGGGGTAAACACACGTGTCTTGAGCTGTTCAGAACCAGAGAAAACAGAACAGGTGAGAGGCTTTTCCAGAGAAATAAACCTTTTAGTCAGTTCATTTCAGTCACTGGACTTCTGTTTTTGTCTGGAGGTATATTTTGCGCCCATATGTGGGATGGGTCTCTGTGCTGGCCCGAGACACCAGCTGGGACATCGGTTACACAAAACTGTCCAGAATGGCCTGACCTAGAGGGAACTGGTAAGTTTTGCACTCGCTGCACTCGAGTAGAACAACCAGCTGACTGACCTGAGACCTGCAGGAGGTTGGGTTTCTGTGTAAACGTTTAGACTGTTTTAAGTACTGATGCTGTGTGTGTGTGTGTGTGTGTGTGTGTGTGTGTGTGTGTGTGTGTGTGTGTGTGTGTGTGTGCGTGTGTGTGTGTGTGTGTGTGTGTGTGTGTGTGTGTGTGTGTGTGTGTGTGTGTGTGCGTGTGTGTGTGTGTGATTTGTGATTTGGAGACAGTCTACCTTACACATGTTCCAACACCACAAGCATTTCAGTTTGCTTAATAATTTTGGTTTAAGGTGATTTTAGGAGCCCAGCTTGTTTTGGAAGCTCTGCTGCCTTTAACTACTGTTTTTAACCCTTTAATGGTCACCAGGCTTGAGGCTTATGGGAGAGTGGCTGCTTTTAGTCTGAGTTAAACCGGTTTCACACTGCAGGCATCAGCGGAATGGAAGAGCAGCAGGGCGGCTCACTCGCGAACTTCAAAGCGGTCCTTTTCACACCGGGAGAGTCTTGGCCGCGGCACGGCTTCCTCGCTGCACCTCGCTGTACCCGCGAGATTCTAAAATCCCTCGAGACTTCCGACACCTTCCTCATTGAGAGATCACAACCCCCACGAGGAATCACACGGCTGCACTTCTCGAAAGAAACTGGTGGTAAACAAAGCCGTTCAGTCACACGCACTGACTTAAGTTATATATAACATTGCAACGTTGAATTTTATTTAGAAAATAACTGGGGATTTTACACTGAAACCGTGTGTGGTTTCCTGTCTTGCACTATTTGAACTGCGGAAATTGACGTGTCCCAGAAGCGGCTCGCGGAAAAAATAGAACTTGATCCTATCTTTAGCGGCGCAGCACGGCATGCCGCTTCTGGGATGCGCCTGGTAATTGCCACATCGCAGCTGGTTTGAAACACTCCATAGACCAGCGGTTCCCAAACTTATTTAGCCGCGCACCCTCTTCTATGTCCTGACCATGTCGACGCACCCCCCAGCCCCACATCAGGGCATGGCATATATATATATATATATATATATATATATATATATATATATATATATATATATATATATATATATATATATATAGTCAAGCTAAACAGTCATTCGACAGACAGGGTTAAAAAAAATATGATCAACCTTTTTCCCCATCACTTTCATTTTTTAAATAGTAATTAATAAACATTCGATACCATCACAATTTCCTTTGATTTAATTTTAAATACATATTTAGAGTGCCCAGGTAGCACATAAACAATGCAGTTTAACGATTTTCTTAAAGTAGGAACGTTTAACCTGTGCGGCCAGAGCTCTCTCCTTCCTTCTGCTCTGCGTAAACCTGAGCTGATCACCTACTTGTGCGTAATCAAATGTCTATAGGGGAAAAGATGGGAAAGCTATAGCCATGAGGTTCACTTTTGTCTCAGACCGACTTATTGCTGTTTTATGGTGTGGCTGAATCTGCGATCCGCTGCCACGCGGACTGGAACAACAAATGCTGCAGTAACAGGAGTTGTGGTCAGGTTCATGAGGAGTCACTGGCTGGAGCGGACCCGACTTTAATATGTCATCCCAAAATAGAAGCTAATATCTTAACTTGACCTTGAATGAAAAATGTTGTTAAAAACCTCTTAAAAGTTTTTTATCACGGAGGAGGCAGCGCTCATTTCTGCCTCCAGTCTGACAGCGCAGCGCCGCGCAATGCCGGAGTTTGCGCGGAGTGCGCTTATTGAATCTGTGTGTGTGTGTGTGTGTGTGTGTGTGTGTGTGTGTGTGTGTGTGTGTGTGTGTGTGTGCGGCACAGCTCCATGAGCCGCTCAAGTCACTACGTCTCGTTATTGGCGCTATTTAAACCAATGTTGTGAAATTATTAATGCCCAGTCCAGATGTGCTCACATGTGCACCCGTGAGCCGTGGTTCCGATGGAATGCGTCTGACCTCTGACAGACGCACTCTGAATTTCAGATCTTCAGCGCGCTGTTAATAGCCTGACGCATTTAGAATGCTGTCCCACACTCAGTGTGCTAATATAATAATATAATAATGCTAAAATGCTCAGAATCATTTCTTGTTTTATTTTGTTACATCCACAATGTTCTGTGTGTGAGGTTTATAATGTCAGAACATCTGCATGAGACAGGGTGTTAATTACAATCTGCCAGAATGACTCACCACCTTCAGATTTCTCCAACATCATTAAAAATGATCAAATACGGAACATATCTTGCTATTGACAGCATGCGCAGGCCAGAGTGCTGAAGCTCGGAGTGCATTATTATGAAGCTAGGGCACACGCGGAGGACACACACACACGCTAAATATACTTGTTTTCAATTGCATTCATTGGGCCCACTTACTTTTTCTTAGGCCCACCCACAAATGAGTTTCTGGCTACGCTAATGGTGACATATGACAGACTTCTCTGAGCTCTGCAGCCATTACACTTTTCACCTCGCGCACCCCCTAGCGGCAGCTTGCGCACCCCCAGAGGTGCGCGCACCACACTTAGGGAATCCCTGCCATAGACTATAACTGGATTCTATTTGAAGCGGTGCCGCTTCGCTGCCGTTCCGTTCCGCTGATGCTTGCAGTGTGAAACTGGCTTTAGGCTTATTAAACCTATAATTGGAGACTGATAAAGGATCATCTTTTGATTTATGGATTGATTTAGCTGAATTTTAAAGGTTCCGTATCATGCTATTTTAAGCCTTTGAGAACAAAGGTAGACATATGATAAAATATTAATGTTGGCTCTATTGAGAGTTATTTTTCTAAGCCTGATTTTATACCTGGAAATAAAACACTTAGTTTCAATAAAACTCCGCCCATGCCCACTCTGACAAAACGTGCTTACAAAAGCATCTTTGGCAAGTTGGTTACTGTATTGCTATTGTAGTCCAGTGGTTAAGGCACTATGATTACTAGACTACCAAGTCTGTTACATGACACTCACATATCCTAAACTCGCCATGGGAGACAGGTTTCAGACCAGAGACCCTCTTCCGGGAAAGGAGCATGGCCTGATGTTGGGAGCAGGGACACGGATTGACATACAACTTGTACATTTGGCCGTCTCAGGAATTTCAAAATAAAATTCTAAATTTGCACCTGAAACAGGAAATGCATGATTTCAGCCAAAAATAGGTTTGGGGTGTTTTTCATGAGGAAACAACAATGTAACATTCTAAAAATCTACAAATACTAGAGTTTCCATGATGTGACTCCTTTAACCCCCTAAATTTCCAGGTTTAGTGAACACGATGGGGTTTTGTCCCATGGGCATGGGCAGATTTTTTTGTTTACCTTCCTAATAAAGCAACATCTTCTTAGCAAACTACTTCATTTTACTCAATTCACCCATTTTTATTCCTTTTCTAAAGATTATTATTACAAACTGAAAATGAAACTGATTTACAGTGTGCCATTATTACATAGGCTTTTTTTACACGAGCATCAATACGTCTGAGTATATTTTTGTAAAAGTGACACTTTCCATGACTCAACCTTCCAGTGACATGTACAATGAAAGATGTATACACTCAGATGCACGAACACTCATTAGCAGATTGTACTCTGTCATTCAGACAGAACTACGACAGGCATTTATTTAGTTAAAACTGACTGCGGACCTTGATTAAGTAAGCAGCAATCGCTACTTTCCACAGCAATGCACCGTTTTTACTCTGTGAATTATGCTCGGTAAACGTCTGGCTGACGAGAGCCAGAGTCGAGCTGCAGGTGATTTAGGAGATGCAACGTGATGAAGAGGGGGAAGGTGAGGTAGAGGACAGAGAGATGGATGAGGAGGGAAAAAGAGCGGCAAAAGAGGAGAGGAATCACAAAAAGCCAGAGCCAAAGAGACAGATGTGGAGGGAGCATAAGAACAAGAGGGCACAGAGGTTGGTCTGATGAGAGACGGCTCATAAGGGATTCCACCCCCACCCACCCATGGTTGTTTGACAGTTTGTGCTGCTGCCAAGATGGGGGGGGGGGGGGGGGGGGGTAAAGTTTGATGAAAAGTTGATGAGCTGTCAGAAAGGACTAGACGGTAGTTGTTGCTGTCAGGATCAATGTGATGTCATTCTTCTCACAGACTACACACCGATCTGAGTCCCAACACTTGGGAAAATCACCACAGAGGTGGAAAACACTCTGTTTTGATGGTGTTTGCCAAAGTAAATAACTCCTGGATATTTAGTGCTGCCAAGATAGTCTGTGTTTGGATTACGCCAAGATGCTCCTGCTGAAAAACAGCAGGTGAGCCGGCCAAAGAAAACAAAGAGCTCCCTGCTAGGAACACAGAAGCAGTCGAGAGCTGCTGTAGGGAATCGCTGCTGATAGACTAAACTCTGATGTCATCCTTTTTCCACCACAGAAGAAGTGACCAAATATTGTGATGAATCTGGTAACTGGGGACAGACAGGTTCCACCTGTGAAGGTGCCTTAAAGGACAAACCACAGGTATTTTTAGTGTTTGGTTTCTTGGATTAGAATGGACGAGAACATTTTTTATGTAAAGCAATCAAAAGAATATCCCTTCTGTGCCCAAAGGAGTTAGACTTTTTAAACGATGCTGCAGAAGAGCCAATGAAGGAGGCGGCACGAGTTTGGACCGAAAAAATTATCCTTGAAAATGAGAAAAAATGCCTCGAAAAAATGAAGCAGGATCCGCCTTATAATAAATCAGGTACTCGTGCTGGCTTCTGCCAACAATTTCATTTCACATTTCTTATCTTCATGAACATGAATCTTCTAAACATAATTCAGATTTTTCTTCTATTTCCTCCTGTTTTGGGGGATCAGGTCTGCACTGCAGTCGTAACTGGGACGGATGGTTGTGCTGGGACGATACTCCAGGAGGGAACTACGCTCTCCAGAACTGTCCACGTTACTTTGATGACTTCGACCCAACAGGTGACGAGTGGAGCCCAAAGGTTTAGTTTCCCTGAAAGCTTATTACCTTCCTCTGGTGGATACATGTTTACTAATGAACAAGAGTACCAAAGATTGTTAAAAACGTCTTTATTGCTACGCGTCCATTTTCTCATATTTTATTTGTATTTCCTCCTGTCACTTTGAAAAAAAATCCATGAAAATATATCTAAACAAGTGGCTTGATTATTAATTAATGCTGAATGTCTGTAGCAGTATGCAACGGTGCCCCCAAAGGGTGGCCAGGGCCATGCCTAGAAATTTTTTGGCCACCCAGAGGAAACCAGTGTTCTTAAATAAATCATATTAATGTTCACACAAATTTAAATTCATGTTATTTAATCTGACATAAATGTAAAACCCAGTAAAAATATTCAATTAAAGAAAAAAAATCTAAAATGTTTTATATGTTTCTCCTGCTCAGCATTTGCAAAACAAAAGTTTAAATCTCTATATTCTTTGTGATTTTTTTGTGAAGACAGCAATTAAAGTGTTGTAAACGTTCTACAAGTTTAAACAATGTAACATTCCAAATAACTGTTGGAAAAGCCTGTTTCTGAAAATGTTGTGTTCTTTGAATTTGAGGTAAGCTTTTTGGATGCATGTTGTTTTTAATGAAAAAGAATAAAGGAGCATGCAATGCATTGCCACAGGCTAAACTCCCAGAGTTACCAAACGGACCAATCTGGTGTGCCACCCCAACCTTTTCTCTGGCCACCTCTATGAAAATTATCTGGGGGCGCCACTGGAGGTACGTCCATCATGCATCATGCTGCAGAGACAGATCAAACAAAACTGCAAAAAAAAAATTCACTTACAGGTGAAACTCCCAAAAAAAAATCAAAATGGTGCAAAAATTTGTTTTTTTCAGTAAAAGCAGAAAGGGCCCAAACCAAGTACTGAGTACAGTATGATTATGCTTTTACAGATGTATCTATTTCAGATATATCCTTGCTTTATAGGTTTCATTTAATGTTCTAATTGTCTGAGATTTTTAACCCTTTGATGCATAATGGTCACTACAGTGGACAGGTACTCAAAATTGTTATTTATTTATTTTTGCTATTAAGCACAGCTGTTGAAGACTTTATTGCATTTGAGCCCCTCCATTTGGACTTCAGTAAGTCAAGCCAACATATTTCATGTTCAGAATGCATGCTGTCCACTGAGATGGACATGTAATAAACTATGTGTGAATTAAATGTTACAAAAATATGTAAATATAAAATTTGTTTCATTCACACCTAAAGATGAATGAAAAAAATGTTTAAAAAATCATGGTTGAAGATTTCATAATTCATGCATCAAAGGGTTAATATGGGTAGTTTTATAAGCTGTAAGCTTTTCATTTAATGAGACTATCTCACCCTTTGGGTTGAATCACTGAAATAAATTAACTTTTGCACCTTATTCTCATTTTAGAGTTCTACCTGCAGAGCTCAAATTATACTGACCATAAACTCCTGTGAGTGTTTTCATTTTGAGCCTGTCTCACCAATAGTAACCATGGTGACCCTCAGGACCAATGTTGTTTGAATGATGCTCTGGAACCCTTAGTTTTAATGTGCTTTGCAGAAAAGGTGTCTAAGTACTGTGGAGCAGACGGACAGTGGTTTCATCACCCAAAGACCAATAAAGTTTGGACCAACTATACTCTGTGCTCAACCACCCATGACAAGAACCTGAGGGTAATATCAGATTTCATGGTGCAGGGTGTGGCTGTTTACAGTAGGTTGTCCTAATGAGCCCTTGTTCTTCTGTGAGAAGCTCCAGATGTATGAAAATGAACACAAGTGTCTCCGTAGAATGAAAGACGACCCACCCTTCAGCAAAGCAGGTGATTTGTTTTCCCTGTGTAAATGAAAGTCCAAGTTAACTTGTGAATTTTAAAAATGATCGTTCACTCTGAGTTTTTCATGCAGGCTGAACATGAAAATAGTCTCCTACACCTATCTCCTATATTAGCTTATGATAGAACATAGACGGTGAAACTCTAGGATTAGAAAAGCCTGACAGATCTACGTCAAACTGTCGCTTAAAGGTATTGGCCAGACTCGGCATTAAAATAGTGGAAATTCAGTATAACTACACTTTACCATCTATAAAAATGAACTGGGTTCAGTTTTTCATTTAGTTAAGGACTTTTGTCATAAATCGTTACAGAAAATCCAAATCCTCTCCTCCAGACAGTGAAGAACTGTGTTCCGCATACATCACTCCAACACGTAAAACAAGGTAGCTGCTATTGTGAATAACTGTATTTTCTTTACTTTCGTGCTCTTAATTATTACAAAAAATTGTGTTTACAGCTGCAGCACAAGGTCTTAGCCACATGTCCGTGTCCTACACACATTTTTAAATAACAGGTCTGATCTAAAATAATAACCTACATCTATAAACCCATCTGGAACCGCACCGGTACTTCTGGACTTTAGAGTCCTGTTAGCATGACTGCAGCAACACTGCTAACTGTGTTAGCTCCGGTAAGGAAAAAACAAGGCATTTGGGAAAGCTACGACACACACACACACACACACACACACACACACACACACACACACACACACACACACACACACACACACACACACACACACACACACACAGATATAATCTAAAAGATGATCCCCATATTTCAACGATAGATCATCCTGGGACCGGTAGAACCTCCATGCCGTCTTGGATTAGTGAAAATGAGTCAAACTAAGGAGTTACTCCAGCATCAGGAATATTTATTCCGGTAAGCTATCCGTTAAATATGATCCAATATACTTTTCAAGCAGCGGTAAAACTGGCAGCACGTAATTTTATTTATCTGTAGATTATTGAATTATATTGGGACACATGATGGAGCTAAGACCTGCTGAGAACTCGTCAGCTCCCAGTGGAAGCACAGAAAGGAAATGAAAAATGTTAAACAAATTGTACAGATTTTGGTTCTGAAGATGAACAGAATCCTCCCCGGTGTCAAAATTGGATCACGGGTCCTTTGAGTCAAAAATATGCCTGCACCTTCTGTAGTGATATCCAGCTTGTGGGGTCGGAGTTCGATTGAACTTCTCCGGTAATCCAATATCCGTTCTTGTCGCCGTATCCCAGAGAAAAAAAACAAATCTGACGACTAGCAGAGGCTTCAAAAGCTACTGTACATCTGACTGATGGCACATTGTTCTCTGCTGTAACGCTAACGCAGAATCACCAAAGTCGAGGATTGTGTTCTATAGCTGAATCTGCAGAGCTCCTCCAGCTCACCAACTGCCCAGGGCTTAGACCGGAAACTATTTTCTGTTTTTCCCGCACCAAACAAAAACATCAGATTTTCTTAAAATGCTAGCCGTGAAAATCCAAAAACCTTTTTCATTTGAAGCTTTAATACCTCTTTGCATGTGCCTTTCAAAGGAATTTTGCCTCTGGCCAATACCTTTAACATTCATGGACTCACCCATCTAGACTCATGTTGGGGAAGACTGCTGTAGGCTTAGTGTATGGAAAACAGCAGAGAACGTACTAGCTGGTAGAAGCTAATCGTTAGCATTAACAACTCTGCCACACAGCAAAACTCCTCAAAGGTTGTGTTATTTGCAGATGTAAAACATCAATGCAGAGCAAACAGAGTCAGTGGTAGATTTGTGTTGCTAGCCAATCAGAGGAGAGATCAGGAAATCAGACTCCAAATTTTGCTGTGTTCTTCTCCCCGCTGCTGTGGCGTCTACTTTTTGAAACAAGAGCACCAGAGCTTTTTCCTACGAGGCACTCTGAAAACCACTGCGAACGTGATCCAAAAATTGAGTGAACTTGGTCTTTAGGATTTATGATGTGAAGAAGAGGCGGGTAAACACGTCTGTCACTGTGGGGTTTTCTTGAGGTCTGTACTGTGGTCGTTACTGGGACGGCTGGTTGTGCTGGGACGACACCCCGGCAGGTTCCTACGCATCTCAGAGGTGCCCTGACCTCAAACAAGCTGGTGAGTAAAATAATAATAATAATAAATCAAGAGATGTGCTTTATTAACATCATTTTAATAAAAAATAAAAAGTGTTTTCTCTTTATTGATGCAGCATGTTATTCATTTTGTTGTTAGAAAATGTAACACAGTTCTGTGGAGAAGACGGTCAGTGGTCTCTCAGCGAGAGCAACTCTACTCTGTGTTTGGGCAACAACAAGGGGAAAGTGAGGGTAAATATCTCCTCCTGTTTATCTCTGCTGAAACCATTTATCTTCAGAGTAGGCCAGAGGTCTCCAACCTTCAGGAGACCGTGAGCTACTTTTACACGATGAAAGTACAGAGGAGCTACCGCCATACGATTTATTCACACTGATGCTTTCCATGTGTGAATATGCTTAACATGCATTGTATCCACAAGCTGCTTTCTCTGTGTTTCATTACATCAATAATGTAAAATAAGTAAAAGGAAAATAGCGACGTTCCTGCGTTGAAACTCTAACTAAACAAAACACATTTTATTTTTTAACTAATCTGATACTTTCAGATAATAAAATACAAATCTGCTTTGTGTGAATGCTTGATATTTATTTAGAGTGGATCAGTAACACAACTTTTTGAGCAGCTGACCTCTTCCTGTTCAGCCCCTGACCCTGAGTCCTGCTCCGGAGCCTAAGCAGCAATGCCAGTTTTTCATAGTGTTCAGCTATTTTGTTATAAATGAACAAATACCAAAAACTATGGAATTCAATTTAAACAACATTTATTGTTCTTTAACTCATTCACTGCCAGCCGTTTCCTGATCACTAACGGCCTTCGCTGCCAGCGTTTCTCACCGTTTTTACTGTTTTTTTAAGAGTCACAGAACGTTGCGCGCTAGCATGATGTCGACGCCAAAACAACCAAAACAAAGAGGAGACTCACCTCTTACATCAGGAAGAAGCCGCGTGTTTCGAGCATTATCCGTTCTTTCATAATCCGTTGTCGAATTGTGATTGGCAGACGCTTTTCCGGTTCGCGCCTCACTTTTTTTTTACAGGAACGGCCCAAAACGATCTCCAAACACATGGATGTGTTGCTTCCTGATCATGTGATCTGTGACGTATGCGGATGAAGATCGGCTTCAGGGCTGAGATGTTTGTTCTCTCAGCGCGGGGGCTCGTTCCGATGCTCAAACAGTAAAAAAAAAATGCAAATGACGACTTTAGTCGTCAATGGCAGTGAATGAGTTAAATGGCAGAGGAACGAGCACTGGGGGGCTGCTAGCATGCAGTTAATCTAGGAACAACAGCGCTGAACCCGAGTGAGAACAGGAATGCGGCGTTGTTCCAAAAAGTATGAGATTGATTACTTGGACAAAGGCGAAAGACCTGAAGAGCCGGGAAGATCGAATGATGAGCTGGGTAGCTCGAGTCTCTGACATAGATTGCTGAATCGATGACTGAGTGAGTTTGTGGTTCACTTCCTCCCTTCATCGACGGTGATGATGCAGGAGGGATTCAGGTGAGAAATGGATGATGGGAAGTGAAGTTCTAGGCTGAAGATTTGAAGTGGTGAGTGGATGATGAAGGTGGAGAGGATGTGACAACAAACACGCTGGTCGTGCTGCAAGTCTTTTTCTTTCTTTCTTGAAAACACGTTTTTGTCTAAATGAAGGTGATGGTATTGTTCATAGAATGAAATTCAGATTATTTCATCAAGCAAGACCTGTAGTTAGCTGGCTCATTTAAAACGGAAAGTTTTTGGATCCTGCCACTTGAAAGAGTCGGATTCGGGCATGGACGTAATTTTTTTTTGGGGGGGGGGGGGGGGGGGAATGCCCCCCCCCCCCCCCCCACTTTTTCCAAAGTCAAGTTTTGACCCCTGCACTTTTTACCATCCAAAAACAATATTACGCTATATTAAATTGACACTGGTTGAGCTCTAGGACCAAGCGGAAAACAACCGTTTGTGTTGAAACCTGTTTCCCATTAGAACATACTGTAAAGATACCCCAAGCCACCCACCCCACCCCGTGTCCCCCTCGTGTCCCCCCCACTTCTAAAGTGACAATTACGTCCTTGGATTCGGGAATCGATAAGAATCGGAATTAAAATGAGGAATTGGAATCAGAATCTGAATCATTCAAATTCAAACAATGCCCAACCCTAATGTTGAGTATCCTTCATTCCAATAGGTGGCAGTAATGGGCTAAATTGTTTTGTAAGAATTAAAGTGGCTGTAAATTCTTCTAAGAGATTATTTGTACACATGTGGGCAAAACAAGTGTTCGTGATGTTTTCCTTTTTATTTCCTTGTGGTCTTCCTTATCCATTTTGTCCAATCCTTTAAATGGAGGTTTTATCATGGTGCTGTCTGCTCTGGCTGCTTCTTTAATCTCAAAATGATGGGCTGCATGTGATCGGACTGGTACAGCAAAGCTTCTTCCACTATTCACAGAGAAGCTTCTCCTGGTCGTTCCAGTTTTCCTTTGCTTTGCTGTTTGCAGGATATTTTTGTTTTTTGAGGAAAAGAGAGTTTATAGCTTTGTGGCAATACAGGCTTACGGTCACAATGACAAGCAGAGTTCAAATGTGTGAAGGTGTGGACATGCTTAGATAGAAGTATACTACTAAACCAAATCTGCTGTTATGTGTGACTTTCTGATTACATCCTTTCTATCTCATGTGTTTAGCGTTTCTCTGTTATACTGAAATTCCATAAACTAAAAAAGAATTAAAATCTCAATTATGGAGGAAAATCCCATTGAAAATTGAACATAGTCCTACCCTGTCTCCTACATTAGCTTCTGATAGAAAACAGATGGTGAAGTGCTAGGATTTGAAAAGCCTGATAGATCCATGTCACACTAACTGCTTTCATCATGCATGCACATCAGCATAATTATATCCACAGCGTGTTTTAGGAATGGTGAGGGTGATGTGGCAATTTTACGGCTTTCATGCTGCCAAGCTTGGTAGCAATCATACTGCAATGCCGGACTTGTGAATGAAGATTGAGCCTTGGTGCAACAGAGGGTGGTGTCATGATGTGGAATTACCGCCAAGCCCCGGCGGACATTCCACGGACAAACAAACGTAAAGACGAGCACTGAGACGGCAAACTGGAGCGATGCAGAGCTCCAGGCGCTTCTCTCTGTCAGAGCTGGAGCTCAGATCACCAGACATGTCATGGGGACTGTGGAGCACAGCTTTAACTGCAATAACAGACAAGTTATGTCCAAGCTAAATAGAAGTCTTCGACAGCGCAGAGACCGCCCCCGCACCTCCTTCATACCGCCATCGTGTAATCTTTAGTGAAAAGTGCATCGCCACAGTCTGACCACTTATGAATGACCAAAGGCTCTATGATGCCGCCTCAGCAAATTGGCAGCATTGTTTTACAAAAGAGGCTACTGTCTCTGAACTTTCATGGACTCCATCATTTTGGCTCACAGCTTTGCCATCAGCGTCCAGATCAACAGGTTGTGAATTCCCCTCTTCGGCTAACCGGGTCGTCCGGTTTGAACTAACTGAATCCCTCTGGCTCTCCGATATCCATTCTCCTCGTCGTGTTCCAGAGGAAACAAAATCTGACGGACTAGAGAGGTTTCACATGTCATTTAAGGAAATTTGCCTCTGGCCAGTTTCTTTAAATGTGTCAAATAATCTAATACGATTCTGCACCCTGTTCTTCTGATAATGACCCAGATTCCTTAACTTCTCAGCTTAACGAGCACTGCCTCTCCATTCTGGACAACATCTGTCTTGTCAGAACCAGATCAGTTCCTGCAGCGAACCCTACTCCCTGGTTTAATGACAGCCTTCGCAGCCTGAAGCGCCAATTCAGAAAAATTGAGTGTTTGTGGAAGAAAACCCATCTCCACGTCCATCTGCTGCACCTAAAGGATCTTCTGACATCCTTTAACTCTGCAGTCAGAGACGCTAGGGTTTCCTATTTTTCCAACCTGGTTTCCCAGAGCAAAGGGAACCCCAAGGTGCTGTTTAACACCATCAGCAGCATTGTCTCTCCTGCCTCTCCTACAGCCTCCATCCACTCTGCTGCAGACTGTGAGAACTTTCTGTCTTTCTTTGTGGACAAAGTCAATAAGGTTAGATCTAGCATCTCTCCTTCAGCCTTATCGCCGCCTCTCCTGACTCCAACCAGACCATCATCCTAGATAGCTTTGCTCCTGTTTCTTTGCCTGAGTTAACCAAACTAGTTAACTCTATGAAGACCTCTGCATGCCCCCTCGACATCTTACCCTCACCTTTGTTTAAAAGTGCTTTTCAGTCCATCGGTCCCAGCGTGCTCTCTATAATTAATGCTTCGCTGGTTTCTGGCCAGGTCCCTGCTTACTTTAAGAACGCTGTAATCCACCCGCTTCTTAAAAAACCGAGTCTCGACCCCTCTCTCCATAGCAGCTTCAGACCCATCTCTAAACTTCCATTCATCTCCAAGATCTTGGAAAAGGTTGTGGCTAAACAACTCACAGCTGCACTTGATGAACATAACATCTATGATAGCTTCCAGTCAGGTTTTCGTAGAGCTCATTCTACTGAAACAGCTCTTCTTAGGGTCTCTAGTGACCTTCTGACTCACAGTGATGCAGGGGACTGTTCTGTTCTGGTCCTCTGGACCTGACTGCAGCCTTTGACACTGTTGACCATCACCTGCTACTGGAGAGGCTGAGAGACTGGGTAGGCCTATCAGGAACTGCTCTGGAGTGGTTCTCCTCTTATCTTTCTGAGCACTCCTTTTCTGTGGCCGTCTCCAAGTTTAGGTCCTCCACTACCTCTCTTACCCATGGTGTCCCACAAGGTTCTGTGCTGGGGCCTCTGCTCTTCCTCCTATAATCTGCTTCCTCTTCAGCACATCCTGAGCTCCTTCAAAGGAATATCCTACCATTTTTATGCAGATGACATCCAACTGTACATCTCCTTTCAGCCACAGAAGATGTCTAAGCTGCAGCTGTTACACACCTGCTTAGACTCTATCAAAACCTGGATGGCTGGGAGCTTTCTACAGCTGAATGAAGATAAGACTGAGATCCTCATCTGTGCCCCAGACAAGCTGGTTCCCAAAGTCAGAGACTCTCTTGGTCAGCTTTCTTCTCACACCAAACCTTCCATCAGGAATATTGGCGTGACCTTTGACCCAGCTCTCACCCTGGATTCTCATGTCAGTTCTCTTGTTCGCTCTTCCTTCTTCCATCTCAGGAACATTGCTAAGCTGAGTCCCATTCTGTCCCGCTCTGAACTTGAGACAGTTCTCCACACCTTCTTCTCCTCACGCTTAGACTACTGTAACTCTCTTTTCACGTGTCTGAGCAGAACCTCCCTGAACCGTCTACAGGTGGTTCAGAGTGCCTGTGCTCGGCTTCTGACCAAGTCCTCCAAACACACCCACATCACCCCGCTTCTCCTCCAGCTTCACTGGCTGCCAGTCAACTTCAGGGTTCATTTCAAGATCCTGGTTCTGGTCTATAGGGCCTTACATGGACAAGCACCATCATACATTGGTGATCTTCTTAGTCCCTACACCTCCAGCAGGTCCCTGAGGTCCAGTGATCAAAGCCTACTGGTTGTGCAGCACCAGGCTAAAGACCAAAGGTGACAGATCATTTGCTGCTGTGGCCCCAGACTCTGGAACTCTCTCCCCCTGAGCCTGAGATCAGTGGACTCAGTGGTCTCCTTTAAAAAGCAGCTGAAGACTCACTTGTTCAGGCTGGCTTTTATATGACCTTCTTCACCCCTCTCTCTTTATTCTGCTCTCCCCACCTATTCCACCTTCCTCAGGATCCACTGATTTCCCTCTTTCCTATTCACTCTCTCTCTTTCTTAACATTTTTTATCACAATTGTCTATTTTTTGCTCATTTTTAAATAAATATTTAACCATTTTCTAAATTCTTTTTTATATTTTACATTTTTTGTTTTTGTGAAGCGCCTCATGATTTTTATCTTGAGAAGCGCTATAGAAATGATATTTTCTCCTTCTTCTTCAAAGCATTGTGGGAAGCACAGATGTCAAATTATCCCATGTTGTAAAGCTTCCTAATGGCTGCTAAACAGGGTTAATTGTAAGAAACATGTGTGTGAAGTGAGTTTGTCTTGCTTTCAGGCAGCTGCCCAGTTTTCCAGGGACACAGAGGTGGAGCCCACAGGGGAAGTCACTGTTAGTCCAGTGGATCACCAACAGAACCAGGAAATAGTACGAAAAAAGATCCTGGACAACCAGTACAAATGTTTTGAGAAGATGAATCGAGATCCTCCTTACAACAAATCAAGTAAATGACCCTGACAATAAGAAATGTACCTTGTTCCTGTGTTTTTCACCTCTCTAAGTGAACTATCGCTCCAAACAATTTGGGTTTTTCCAGGTCCATATTGTAATCGTAACTGGGATGGCTGGTTGTGCTGGGAGGACACCCCGGCTGGAATATTCACGTCCCAAAATTGTCCTAACTACTTTGATGACTTTGACCCGACAGGTGAGACTCGTTCACGTGGTCTTGTCAAACACCCGCCCGCCAGATGAAGTAGATTTATTGAGTATTTGTAACTTTCAGAGAAAGCAACTAAATATTGTGGAGAAGATGGGCAGTGGTTCCGCCACCCAGACACCAACAGGACCTGGTCCAACTACACTCTCTGCAATGAAAACACCAAGGCAAAGCTGAGGGTAATTTATAAAACTACCCAGCTATCATCAATCCTCTGCCCGGTGGCCAAAGTGGGATGAATCAGCAGAAGGATCTCTGCTGCGGTGTCTGTGGCTTTTGGAGTGTGGGTTGTAAATTCAATTTCTCAAGGCACACAAAGTCTCTGATCACTCTCTCAAACTGAAACGACAATGATGCTGAGATGTTTTACACAAACATGTTAATTGCTCAACTGTTCCTTAGTATTTGCATGACTCTGGGGTTTTAAAGAAGCAGGTTCTGTTTGTCCGGAGAAGCAGATTTAGCAAATATTGGCACAAAACCGTCAAACTAATCAAAGCATTTTGTTCTTGGGGCTGTACAGTCAGAAAGGCTCCCTGCTGACCGAGCTGTGTGGGCTCTGATAAGTTTAGAAGTGTTTTTATCAGCTGCAGCAGCAGTACAGGCTGCTGTGATGGGCTCCATGTGGTTTTGGTGGGGTTTACCCTAAAGGGGACGTCAAAATACATGAAAGTACACAAATTAGGTTGTTTAGGTTTGGGACATGGGACAGCTGACACAAGATTCAAACACTCAGCTTTTGTCTGCGATCAGAAAAAGTATCTTCAATTAAAAGCTTGTCATGCCAGAGGTTTTAAAGTAACATCTCATTTGGATAAATAATGGAGTTATGGTCATTTTGGTCAAATCACAACGTCTCATGTGATTTGTACCTTTCAGACCATGAGATTGATTACACTCTTAACCAACTACACCAAATTGTATGTAAATATTTGTAAAATTACCTGATTTATGACCATTTTTCTGCCATTTCTAAGGTCAGTTGGCTGTAGTGGCTATCTTGAATTTGGTTGACTCCAAAACTTAGTCAGCTGTAGATCAGCTGTGTGTGTAAACAACGTTTTCTGATGTTTTAAACAAAATTGGGGGTTATATGGACAGGTCCTTTTTGCTGACCTGTTCCACCATGCAGTCTGTATCTGGAAATCAAAAGCTCAAAATATAAGACAAGAGGAATAACCTAACCGAGGTTATGTTTTATAAGTGCTCGACCATGTGTTTATTAACAGTTTCTACAAACTAAGATGTTGTAGTTATCATTTATCTTTATTCATTGCTTATTACATACATTTCCTACCTAAAGCATCATTTGTTTGATGTCTTACTTTTTCTGTGCATCGTTAATCCCAATAGTTTTTGATTCAAAGGTATTTTATTTGGTTCTTTTGTTTGCCCAAAGTAATTTTTAAACGAAAAATCAATCTAATTTAGTTTGATGTCCTGACTGTTTTATTTTATTATTTTTTGTCTCAAAAGTGAAAAATTCTATTCAATTCAAGTTTATTCATATAGCGCCAAATCACGACAAGACTCGTCTCAAGACACTTCACACAGTAAACAGTACAGGTCAGTTCATTAAGCCAATCAGAAAAACGTTTCCTATATAGGGAACCCAGCAGGTTGCATCAAGTCACTGACTAGTGTCAGAGTCTTTACAGCAATCCTCATACTAACTAATCATTTAGTGACAGTGGAGAGGAAAACTCCCTTTTAACAGGAAGAAACCTCCAGAGGATCCTGGCTCAGTATAAGCAGCCATCCTCCACGACTCACTGGGGATGAGAAGACAGAGCAGATACACACACACACACACACACACACACACACACACACACACACACACACACACACACACACACACACACACACACACACACACACACACACACACACACACACACACACACACACACACACACACACACACAACATACATACCAAGTAATGTTTCTATGGTTACATTGTGATTTCTTAGTAAATATTCTATTTAGTGGGAGATAAACTTTATTGAATTTATCCTAGTGAATCTATAATTAAACAGGTAAACTAGTAGTAGCACATTCAAAAATATGTCTCTACAACAATCAAACTGTGCAATAAAAGGGAAGTCTCTGTTTTTCCTGAATGTAACAACAGTTATTTTGTTTTTTTATCCCTGACAGTCTGCCTTCATCCTGTTTTACATGACAATAGTCGGCCATGCTTTATCCATCGCCTCTCTGCTTATCTCTCTGGCCATCTTCTTCTACTTCAGGTAATTGAATCACTTTCAAGTTCCCGTCTTGCTTTTCTCGGGTAGTTATGATTAATCACCGGCTGGTTTTGTGCTTAAAGGAAACATTTCTAAAGTAGATCTGGCAGACACACAGATGTTGTTGCTGCTTACTTTGCAGAGACAAACTTTGCTTTAATGCAGTCAGCAAAATCTTCCTCAGATAAAACCAGCAGATTTACTAAACTCTTCCCTCAAAAAACTGTGTTTGCTCACTGAGGTGGGTGTTTAACATGAATCAAAGCTACTCACTAATTCTAGCTGCTGTCCCAAAGAAATGCTGCACATCATCCAGAAACATGTGCAACATCTAGTTTATGAAAATGCTTAAAGAGACAATGTGTAGTTTTTACCATTAGTTTCTGGAAACATCCATCAAAATATTGTTGAAAATTAATTGATGCCCAGTTGCTGAAAAATATTGGCGGCTTTGTAACATATAACCATAAAAATCAGTTCTAAAACACATGGGAGTGGGTCTAAGGGTGTTTCTCAATGTCAAGGCGCCTGGCCTTGCGAGGTGATGTCTTGCGAGGCCAGGTGCCTTGCTTACGAGTACACTGTCCTTCCTTAGTCAAAGAAAATGGTTACATGGAACTGATTTGCATCCCGTGACCGTGACTTCCACGGCAGTCACGTAACTTCACGTGACACGGGAGATAACGTCGTATTTAATATGTATTAGTTTCAATATAAATGTATAACGAGACTTTTACTTTTTAAATTGTGTATATATCTGTTAAATTAAATATATAAGTGAGTTACTACCCGCTAGCCACCGAAGCTGCAACTACTAAGCAACTAACCAACCATAGATAACTTCTTTGGATCTAAAAAAAAAAATAACATTTTAAATAGTTTAAACTTGAAATTTGCCCCCGAAGTAGCTGCCGGCTTCTGATCCGCCGTCCTTTTGAAAATACAGCACTGTATTCTGGGTAATTTTTGACCAAGGCTAGGCTACAAGACACCTCCCGTGTATCCTTGCTCAGCTAGCTAAACAGTGAACAAACAGAGAGCACATGCCTCGGTAGAACATGAACATTGAAACACGTCTTGGCGGCTCCCAATCACATATCTCTTATGCAACCGGGGCGGGGCCAAGACATCAAGGCAAGGTTCCTTGGCATTGAGAAACACCCTAAGTCTCTGGGCAAAGCCATATTAGATGCCATGTTTCCTTGTACGGGAGCCCATGTGGACAAAATGCATTTGCTGATTTGTAACAAACGGTTACAAACCTTTCGTCATTCTTAAATGTTGTTTTACACATTTACCTCTTCGCTTGTTGCCAGTGATGAAAAAGAGTCTTATGTGCTTGTAAGTTAGCTAAAGTTTGCACTCCCCAGGGCTTTTTGACCCTAATTGGCATCTGTTGGTAAGGTCTTAGTCCAACACAAATATACTGCTTACTTGACATGATTTAAGTATCTACTGCCCCCTATCGCAAGGGAAAATACACACTGTCACCGTAAGTCCACAGCAGGGATGTCCCTGAATGCACCAAGCTGCTCATTTCTGATCGTTTGTGTACTTCATTGGATCGTAAATCATGGGATTTTCCTTTTTTTTCTACTATAAACAAAAATAAAATCACTTAAAAGAATTTTTCAGCTCAAACAAACCACATAAGAGCTAAATAAAGGCACTGGTTCATTTGTTAAACATCTATGCAAGTTTTTATCCAAAGAATCAGATCATAGCTTGACTGATACAGACATCTGTGAGAAAAACTTGGATAAGAAAAATGTTTTTTTGACAATATTTATTGCCTTCACATTGCTGGCTGTGTATCTGGTGATTGCTGGAGTTGTAAATTGCGACACGATGAAGGCCACAGATCCCCTGAATGCAGCTGATGTTCAGAACAGCTCATTTCAGCTTCAGTTTTATTCACACCCATGAATCAACGGGCAGCATTTGGTGCACTTAGGTTACTGATTTAATTAAATAAATCAAATTATTCTTTTTATTTGAACCCAAAACAAAGTGACAGATATGAGTCGAGTGCTCTGAGCTCACAGATAAACGGGATGGTGTGTAGCAACATGATCGCTAACAGATAAAGATACTCAGGTCTGCTCAGTTTGTTGGATGTGTGGTGCAAGCCCATTGGATAAATCTCTATGATGTCTTAAATAAGCCCTTTTAATAGGAAACTGGTATTACCACGCAGTAGAACAGTGAAAAGATAGAATGTAATAAAATATTCTGAATTTGTTTGTTTTTGATTCAGAAGAAAAACAATATCTAACATGTCTGTGAAGGTTCTCAGTCCTCCAGGTCATTGTAGTCTAAGGAGCTTTGAAAGAAAAGCGTCTGGACTTCTTTGAGTTGCTTGAAGACGTTTCACCTCTCATCCGAGAGGCTTCTTCAGTTCTAAGGTCAAATGGTGGAGAGTCCCAGATTCAAACCCAGTGTTCCCCCCCGAAGAGGGAACAAAAGACCCCCTGACCCTCATGTGTTTATGTAGAAGATCATCAGGGGGTCTTTTGTTCCCTCTTCGGGGGGAAACACTGGGTTTGAATCTGGGACTCTTCACCATTTGACCTTAGAACTGAAGAAGCTTCTCGGATGAGAGGTGAGACGTCTTCAAGCAACTCAAAGAAGTCCAGACGCTTTTCTTTCAAAGCTCATTTGACAATATCTAACATGCATATCTAGTTTAGCCCATTTAATTAATGTTTTAAAGTAGATCTGCAGTTTTTTCAGTTGCTGTTTGCTCTTTATTTCCCCTCTGCTGGTGACATAGATGCTTACAGTTGTAATTCTTTTGATCCATAGTAGTTTTCACATCAACACCCATGGCTTTAATCCCATCGTTAGTCATGAACGTCCAGTAAAGCTAACGAGAAAGCACCCGGGGGAAGCATTGTGTTGTATTTAACAGCCCTCCCGGCATGCAGAGTGGAGGCTGTTAGAGGTGATTTCCTCGCCAAAACTGTAAAAAGATTCCAAAATCTCAATTGTTCTAGATGAGCATGTTGGATTAAACATTTGTTATGGCACACAGGAGTCTGAGCTGTCAAAGAATCACCCTCCACAAGAACCTCTTCTGCTCCTACGTGCTGAACTCCGCCCTCACCATCTTCTATCTGGTCACAGTGGTCAACAATCCCGAAGTGGTGGCCAGAAACCCAGTGAGTAAACGTGGACCACCGAGACACCACTGCAAACTAAAGTGGTAGTCTTAAGATCAGGGTTAGACGCCCAAGACAAAACACAACTACCAAAATAATAAGAAATCTGCTCATCTTCATTTTAAAATGTGCACCAAACTTGGCTGTTACAGAAACTTCCAGAATAAATATCAAATGGTTTCCAGGTGAGTTCAGTGAGACCTGTGAAAGGGGATTTTTCTCATAGCAAAAATGGGCACCAAAGAGTTGAATTATGATCCGGAGCCAATAAAAAACACAGACTGCATATAAAATGCAGGTTTAGAATATAAATCCAGGCACTGTCTTGTTGGATTGTTGTAATTAAACTTTGTGCGGAACGAAACTTTACATTAAAAAATGGCGAAAGGTAAGAAAAGGATGTGATCAATTTGTTTAACTCTGGTGTAAATCGAGTTTAATCAAGTTTCTCTTTGCAACAATCTTCACAAGAAGGCAAAACAGTTAAATAGCAGGGTTCACGTTGACCGTTTATTTTGATGGAGAAACCGCAACGCTTGGTTGTTTAGAAAGAATCACCCCGACGCGTGCAGATGCGCTGACGTTTTAATCATTACACACATCATGGAGGTATTTCAGGTCTTTATCATTTTTGTTAAGATTTTAAAAGATGACAATCTTGGCATTTCAAATTGGCATACAGATAAAAAAAAGTGCTGTAAAATAAAACAAGTTATAATTAAATATTAATTCATTATTTTACAAGCAGAGAGAGACGCATCAGATGGATGCGGCTCCAGAGCCGCGAGTTGCTGACCCCTGGTCTATAGGTCGTAATAGTTCTATGGTCGATACAGAACATGTTCATGAAGTTCTTTGCACTAAATCCCTCTCACACAAGGTTTTTTAGCAGTTTTACTCTTGACATTTCAGTACCTTTCAGAATTGGTCGCTTCAGGACTCTTGTCACTTTAAGAAAACAAGATGGAGCTGGCTGCCCCACCCCAGCCCCTGTGGTTCAGGCTGCTATGAGCTGAGAAGCTCCGATATTTGGGAGATGCTCAGAGTAGAGCTGCTGCTCCTCCAGAAGCAGCTCTCTCTTGCACATGAAAGATGGTGCTATGTTAATGTTCCTGCTGTGACATCAAAAATAGGTGCTTTTTGAAACAGGCAATAACAGCAAACAGTGATGGATGCGTTTTTTCACAGTTGGATTTTTTGCAGCAGTACTAGAGACCCACGTGGCAGTAAAAAACAAAGTCGATGTGGATTCAGCAAACATGTCCCCTTTAACAAAAACACTGCCCCTCCAAACTTTCAGACTGTAGATTTGCTGTGCAGCCTTCGTGAAAGGAGTCCCACAATTCATTTTATTTCACATTTCTGTTCTTGGCTACAGCTTTGGACTCATAAAGCCTCTGTCCCATTATTTCAGTACAGCTTTCTGATTCACGCAAAGTCCATGAAGAGGGATAGATTGTTTTCAGCTCTGCGGGCATGACTTAATTGCAGTCTGTCTCTATGCTATGTGTTTGAAATCAAATATATGCAGCACTAATCCGTTTCATACAACCAATAAGCATGCTAAGTTGTTAATTAAAGCACTCTCTAGTAACAAGATTTTTATGTTTTTGTATTTTCTGCCTAAAATCTGAAAATGAACATAGATGAGTAATAAATAATTGTTTAATGAAGTTTATACATCATTTATGTCAATTTATAACTAAATTTCTTTATTTTGTAAATGAAAATTCCATTCACATAACATCAGATGATGAATATTTTCAGTCGTTATGTCGAAAACTTTAAAATATCCAAGAGGCAGCACATCATTTAATCAGTCTTGACTCTTTATGAAGGGATAAACACATTTTATTAACCCAAATGAAAAGAATGAGAAATCTCATGTTTTTAATTTTCAGGCACTCTGAGAAAGCTAAATATAAATGAGCTCTGACTTGTTGGTGGAAACTCTCATCTCAGCAGCCCGTAACAGTTAAGAGGATTTTTCATTTTGTTCTCTTTTCCATTTCTGTCCTTCTGGAGCTCTGCTGCTTTACTGAATGCCGTTATGACATATCTGAAGCTGTTCAGGCAGCAGCGGTAAATCTGTCATGTAGGAATGCCTCTCCATCAGAACTGAGCATAAATTTAGGTGATACTCCTTATTGGGAATCACAATAACAGCAGCTTTAGACCCGAATGCCCGCTGCTTCTGCTTCTCTGACTCCACTCGTCTTTAATGCAGACCCAAATAAAACTAAACACAAGTTACGATGAAGTTAAGATTACAAATCCAGACGAGAGACCCAAAAAATACAAACATATGTTGATTAAAAGTGTGTGTGTGTAAATATTTTCTGCATTTGTTTAAATGATTAAAGAACCTCAGAAAAGCAAGAAAAACAAACATCGGGATTGTAGGATTTGGCTCCAGCCCGACAGAGCGCTGGAAACACCGATCCGTCTAACTCATGCACATCATAAATGTATCCAGGGAGTAGATCCAAACATTGATGTTCCTCGTCGTTCATAACGGCGGCGACCCCCTACCAATCACTCTTCGTCAACATTTGTTGAGAAAGTTTGTCTTGAGTCTACTCTCTGATGTACGACGGTCAAGCTGAGCTCGCTTGGTGCATCATGTCACAGTAGGAGGATTTATTGTGACCTTGTATTTCAACAGGCAGCAGAAACCAAAAATAAATAAAAAACGAGAAGCACCAATGGTTTGGATTCAAATGTGTCTGCTGGGAAACATTGTGGAAATAATCGCTGCCAGAGTGAGACTTATGAGCTCGCTTTTGAGACCAATGATTTAGGAATTGTGGATTGTTGGAAAGTTGTTCTCTGTGGTGTGATGATACAAACTCTGCTTTGGCCTGCCAGCAGCATGAGGGAGTGAAGTCCCAAAGCGTATGTCAACCCAGGCAGGAAGGTGACTGAAAACACGGGTCATATCTGCATTATCTATAGCTGCTTGAGCTCATCTGTGTAACTTGGTAAGCAGCAGTTCTGGAAATAACCAAAGGAAAATTATCGGACTCTATACCGGTGAAACTGGAACAGTTGGAATATGGTGGAAAAGTTTGTATATTTCTGCTTAGACCGAGAGACCATCTAAAGGCCCAGGAACAGTTTGCAGTTGTTTTGGATGAATCAGCTGATTAGAATATTGAACCATTTCTAATTGTCTGAGATTTTCAGTTTGGGGTTTTATAAGCTGTAAGCCATAATCATCACAATTATGTTAAATACAGGCTTGAAATGTCTGGCTTTGTATGTAATGAGTCTTCCAAAGATGGTCGATTTCCTTCTGCTCAGCAACTGAACCAGGTTCATTCACTGTACTGATTAAAATCACCTGATTTAGTTGCTGAACTGAAGAAAACATGGCATGAAGATGACTTGTTGATGCCACAATTTCTCATCTCTGGAGATTTACTCATATATTAGGTTCACCTTTTAAGCTGAGTTACAGAAATAAAAGAACTTTTGCACCATATTCAAGATTTTCAAGTTTCACCTGTAGTTTGAAAAGGTCATTAATGTGAGCAGCAGCTAAAAGCCATGTGCACTCAATGGCTAATAGTGATTAATACAAAAAGCAAAGCTGTGAAGTCAGAAAGTATCTTTGGACAAGTTTAGGAGAGGTCATGCAAACAGACAAACAACAGGACTGTGTACTCATCCCTGTTGTACACCTCCATCATTAGTGTGGCAGCTTTCTTTGAATATTCCCATGAATACCAGGATTGGATCCTGCTGCCCTAAATAATCAGTAAGGTGCTTGTAAAGTGTCACAAAGACAATTTTTAGTGCATTACAGCAAATTAAACTGCTTATTTAGTTCCAGTTTGGCCATCTAAAGACTATGACTTATCCAAGAGTGTGCTGATAATTATAGCATTAGCAGATTAGATGACATTGACATGGTAATGATGTGTCATTAAAGTCATCACTTCTCACTGTAATGACTTAATCAAAGAACAGAAATCCTAATGAGCTGTGCTGTCATTTTGTAGCATTACGGCACATTTCATAAATATAAGATTGTGCCGTCGCCTTTCAGCTGCTTTCTTGCTTCTTTGTGCATCGTGCAGAAAACCCAATCAGAGAAGCCTCCAGAAGCAGACTAAAAAACATCATTTCTACTTGCCACCAAAGGGGGTAAATGAAAAGAACAAGAGTGGGAGATGGTTTTCACCCACCAGCAATGAAACATCCCATTAGATTATTTTATTTATTTAGTTTTTACATCATGCTGAGATGTTGTCAAAAGTATTTAAACCAAATCTTATGCTCACATACACTTTTGTTCTCTCTGCAGGTGGGCTGTAAGGTTCTGCACTTCTTCCACATGTACATGTTGGGCTGTAACTATTTCTGGATGCTGTGTGAGGGCATCTACCTGCACACTCTCATCGTGGTGGCTGTGTTTGCTGAGGAGCAGCATCTGCACTGGTACTATCTCTTGGGCTGGGGTGAGTTATCAGCTGTGAGCTTTTTGACATTTAATTAGTGCATGCTGAATGACGAAGTCTGATCTCTACTGAACTCAGTCACAAACTGAAAAGTCCCTAAAAGTGGTGCAGCAACAGTGTACATAATCTAGCAGCAGCCACCAGATGCTCACGCAGCAGGCTGACAGCTTTATGGACCTCTGTGGCTTCATGCTGCTGCTTTCCTGATTCCTCGCCCAGCTTCAGCAGGAATAATACACGGCCTGACCGAAACAAGTTGCCATCAAAAAAGAAATAAAAAAGGTCACACACTAATATTTTATTGGATCGCCTTTAGCTTTGATTACGACACACATTCACTGTGACACTGTTTCGATAAGCTTCTGCAACGTCACCAGATTATTTACTTCCGTCCAGTGTTGCATTAATGTGTCACCAAGATCTTGCATTGATGATGGTAGAGTCTGACCGCTGCACAAAGCCTTCTCCGGCACATCCCAAAGATTCTTAATGGGATTAAGGTCTGGACTCTGTGGTGACCAATCCATGTGTGAAAATGATGTCTCATGCTCCCTGAACCACTCCTTCACTATCTGAGCCTGATGAATCCTGGCATTGTCATATTGGAATATGCCCGTGCCATCAGGGAAGATGGAATAACCTGGTCATTCCGGATATTCAGGTAGTCAGCTGACCTCATTCTTGGAGCACATCCTGTTGCTGAACCTAGACCTGACCAACTGCAGCAAGCCCAGATCATAGCCCTTCCCCCACAGGCTTGTACAGTAGGCACTAGGCATGATGGGTGCATCTCTTCATCTGCCTCTCTTCTTACCCTGATGCACCATCACTCTGGAACAGGGTCCATCTGGACTCGTCAGACCAGTTTTATAATGCATTGGACAGTTCTTAACCCAGTTTTAGTCGTTTCTGCATCTCCTTAGATGTTTTCTGTGCTTGATGCCAGTGATCTGACCCTTCTCAAACAGCATAACATCTTTTCCATGACCATCAGATGTGCCTTTCCGCATGGTTGTTTAAGAAATGAGAAACAACTCATTGCACCAGTCCAGTTGGGTTAAATAACTTGTTGCCATAATTATCCAATAGGAGTCTCCTACCTGTTTGCTTAGTTTAATCCAGGTGGAGACTGTTTTTTGACAGGTGATGTAGAACTGAGCAATGACGCATCACAAAGGCGGCTACGTCAAGGACATTTTTTGACGTCTGCGTGTGTGTGGTCATTTTTTCAGGTCCGTCTGTGGCTGAACTGTAACAAAGGCTCTCAGGCTTGTGAAAATATATTGATGATACATTTTTTATGTTTTATTTATTCATCCAGTAAATCTGTAAAAATTGGAGCCCAGTCTCTGTTTGGTGTTTTGCAGACATAATGTCAGATTTAACAGAACTGTCACAGAAACACGTGGCAGGAATGTGAAATAATGAGTATTTGCCTCTGTCTTTCCAAAAGAGGAGAACAGTTTCTTTATTGTTGCATGAAGAACAAAGAGAATTTCTCCTCATATGGTCGTCTTTTCCTGTTTAAGGCTTTCCTCTTGTACCCGTGTCCATCCACGCTGTAGCCAGAAAAAAGTACTTTGATGACAAGTGAGTAATGTTCCAGAAACGTGTCTAAATAAACAAGAGATGTTTACACATGTGTTGGGTTGCGCGCAAACGAGTGAGAGCGTGCCGATCCATGTGCATTTGTGTTTTCTCATGTGTGTGTTCGTGTGTATTTTGGGCCACCGACAGCCCTGACTGGATTTGTTTTTGCCTTTGTAGCTGTTGGATGAGTGTGGAGACCCATCTGCTCTATGCGGTTCATGGGCCCATCGTGGCAGCACTTCTTGTAAGTCTGCAAATTTTTGCAAAATAAAAAAGTGTCTCAGAAGGAACCAAATTATTTTTTTTAATTGTGATTGAAACAGGTAAACCTCTTCTTCCTGCTGAATATCATCAGAGTTTTGGTCACCAAGCTAAGAGATACGCACCGAGCAGAGTCTAACATGTACATGAAGGCCGTGAGAGCCACTTTGATCCTTGTACCCCTGCTGGGAATACAGTTTGTCATTTTTCCCTGGAGGCCGGAGAACCAGCTGGCTGGTGAGGTCTACGAGTATGTCATGCACATCCTCATGCACTACCAGGTGGGTACCGAGCTGCAACCTTAATTTAAATTACCATTAAATTGCAATATACAGCAGGAGCTCAGCAGGACGGTAAGTTACCTGTGCATTAGCTGCTACTCACACAGGTCTGGTCTCCTTAATTCACCATGTCATGGACCCATCTGGTGTTGGAAACCTTCCTCGGAGGATCTGGTCCATGCTCACATTCAGCTACAGGAGTGGTCAGACACCACGGGCTGCATGGTGGCGCAGTGGTTAGCACTGTTGCCTCGCAGCACGAAGGTCACAGGTTCAAAACTCGCCTTTCTGCGTGGAGTTGCGTGTTTCTCCCCATGCATGTGTGGGTTTTCTCCGGGTACTCCGGTTTCCCCCACAGATCACAACATGCCCTATAGGTAAAAAAAAATTGTAAGTCGCTTTGGGTAAAAGCGTCTGCTAAGCACATAAACATAAACATAAACCACGAGACACTGGCCTTGATCCACAAGGCTTTTATTCTATTTCATCATGCAGTTGTTGCTTTCTCCTCCACTCGTCCCAGACTGCTCTCTCTCTCCTCCTCCCACCACAGCACATTTAGAGAGTCCTCTTGGCTGGGTCACACATCCCATCACTTCCAGAAAATACAAAAATGGAGCTGAGAGCAGGCTGTGAGGGTGGAGTCAGATGATGGACATCCATCAAACTCTGAGCTGTAGGGTTATGAGATTGGGTGTTAAATTATGACCAATAAGATGTGATGATTCTATATAAATATTGAATTTCAACCTGATCTTTGAATGTTTAATCAGAAGAATTTAGGATTCTTTGCTAATTCAGTGACTATAAACACACTTCATATTAATTCAGACAGAGTCAAGTATATAGTTAAAATAAACTTTATTTTCTAGAGTAATTATAATTCATGACAAGCTATGAATAATGATGTGTGATGGAATGTGATTTTTATCAGAACCTTGTATCTGGAAGAAACTGTGAGTTCTGGGTGTAAAAGAATTTGGTCTGCTATAAACTAGAGAGTTGATTATTAATAAAACAACATCAGACGCAATCTTGTTGTGTCTACAAACCCCGATCGTAAACCCCCGTTGTAGATCCGGAATATTGAAGTCTGGTGGACCCCAAGGCACCGAAGTCCGTAGAAAAACCGCCGTACCACTAGAGTTGTCTCCAGATCACAACAGGCATAAAGGTTGTTGCGTCTAAGAATGGACTCTTAAGGAGTGGAAGCTGTGTCAGCTTTGCAGCGTGCAAACAGGTTTTGACTGTTTGTCAGAGAGATGTTTCTAAAGAGGCTGGTTCTGGATTGGTCACTCCGGAATGTCAGCTGGAAACAAACTTACTCAACTCCACTAAACTGAACTGAATAACTCTGGAAGTGATCTGAGTTTTATTAATTCCTATGCTATGATTTTCTGGCAAATCACAGTGTGCCATGTTAGGGAGGTTTTACCAACCCTCCCACTGTCTTAATTAGTAACCCTTCTTGGAAAGTTGACCATTGAGCAGGAGTGATGGTTTATCCCTTGAGGTCCATGTGGCAGGGGTGAGGTGGTGCTCACTCCTCATCCCTGCGACATGGACCCAAGGGATAAATCATCAACCCTGCTCAATGGTCAACTTTCCTCGCGGGGTCACACCCGTTAGGACAGTGGGACGGCCAAACAAACCTCAGAAACGCTCCTTCTTCAGATAAAAGACGCCCTGATTTTGTGGATAAGAAAATGTGTCTATGTGTCATCACATTACTGTACCCTTGTGTCATGGAGATATGCACGTGTGTGTGAGCTTGTCAAGTAGGCTGATATAAAACAAACAGATCATTGCAAGGGCACATTCATTTCAACCTTATTAATTTAGGCATAGATTAATCAAAACATTAATATTATTACTCAAATAACATTTGGTTCAACCATATGATTATTTAATGATTATTTAACTTATGAGTCGCAAAAGTTAATTTTTCATTCAGAGTGTGGAATCCTGTAGAAGCGATAAGGGGGAAGCTTTGTTTGGGAACATAGGCTGACAATCTTGTCCTGAAATGTCAACATGCACTGCAGAATCTTCTGGGTTTTAGAAGACAGAATAGAAACTTCACTCAGATAGTGGAATTATGTCTGTAGGTGACCGGTCACTATGTGGTCAATATATAGGTGAAAATTAACCCTTTCTGGACATTACAGAGCTGATGTAGCTACGAACTAGCAGAGCTAGTCGAAACAAACAGATGTTGACATGCGCTTTTAGCAAGAAAACCGAGGTTGAGAGTTTCTGCCTTCTAGGCTGTAAAACGTTTAACGAGAGCCCGAGGCAAAAGCCTGGGGCACATCGGAGGCGAACGCGTCTCGCCCAAGATTTTGAGAGGTCAACTGGCCACACAGGACGCACCGCGCCAGTGAGTGTCGGAATGTTTTGCGATAGTCACAACATCACGCGGGACTTGAGAACAGAAAGCCGGAAGTGACTCTATTGTTTATAGGTGATCAGACTTGCCGTCATGTTTTGTGAGACTCTAATTCATTACAAACGGGTCGGTACGCTATTTACGCTGGAGCAAGCAAGAGGCTACCTGCAGAGACGTGTCCAGGCCTTTCAAATGGGGTGGCCAAGGTGGGGCACTTGTTTACATCAAGCTACATCATGGTTGTGCTTTTTTATTTTATTTATTTGGTGGGGGAGGGGGTTGTCACTCCTCACAAAATCATAGTTGTTTTCATTTTAGTGAATTTGTGAGATCCACGTTGTGCCATAACCAATTTTCTCTCATTTTCTAATTCTTTGAGCTGTTTTGTGCTGGTTAGTGAGCTTCTTCTTGGTGCATTACCACCACCAACTGGAGTTGAGTGGGAATGGGACTGGTATTCTATTACTAATACTAAAATGTTGACATGCGCATTCAGATTTCAAAGGGGGCATGCACAACCCCAGGCTACTCCCTGGACACGCCCCTGGTTAGCTGCTACCGCTGATGGTTTGTCTGCTACCTGTCTCCAACCATTCATAATTTCAAGCTTTAATTACATCTAAGCAGATGAGTTACCAAAATTCACCCCCTCAGAGTTGTCATGATGGTAAACTTGACCTAGTAAAGGTAAAGTTCCATAGCCGTCATCACACAATGGTGAAATTACATCTTTGCATTTGACCCATCCCTATGGGGAGTGGAGAGCTGCAGCAGTGGCTGCGCTCTGGATCTATTTAGTGGTTTAATCTTCCAATCCAGCCCCTTAAAGCTGAGCATCAAGTGGGGAGGCATTAGGTCTCATTTATAAAGTCTTTGGAATAGCCCGACTGGGATTTGAACACCGATCTCCCAGTCCCAGGGCGGACACTCGTAATATTAAACCTAAAATGCATTTATTTCTGCTGTGAAGTTGACTTCTTTTTTACTATAAGAGCTTCTTACTTACCTCTGTGCAGAAAAGGCATTCCTATTTTTAAGTCATGTATTTTTTCTTTTTCTTTTTAGGGTTTACTGGTAGCAACAATATTCTGCTTCTTCAATGGAGAGGTAAGAAGTATTTCTCTTTACACTTATTATATTATATTATATTATATTATATTATATTATATTATATTATATTATATTATATTACATTACATTACATTATATTGTATTATATTATATTACATTATATTATATTATATTATATTATATTATATTATATTATAATATATAAGACATGCCTTAGAGAATAAATTTACATTACCAAAAGTAAGATCTGATGCTTTAAAACGTACAGCAATGTATAGAGGGATGTACTAGTGGAATCGTCTCCCAAAAGAAATCTCACATATTACGGGTAAAAACATATTTAAAATTAGATTAAAAGGACATTTATGTTGTATGTAGAAAGAGAACTTATTATTTTATAATTTTCCTCTGGGATTAATAAAGTATCTTTGAATTGAATTGAATTGATTTATTTTATTTTATTATTATTATTTAAAAAAAAGGTTAATTTTGTTATGATATAACATGAAAAATAAGTGTATAATATATGGAAGCCTTGGGATGGTAAAATTATATCTGTTATGGTCATCAATGTTGATTTGGTGGGGTGGACTTGTTTCTGTATTTTTTGTGTTTCTATTTTTTATTTTATTTATTTATTTATTTTGTCTTTTCATCTATTTGATGTAAACATTGTTTTTGAAGTTGCATAAATAGGTCACTGCAGCTAACAGCGTTCCTAAAATAATAAAAAAATAAACAATTATATTATAACGTATCATGTCATGTCATATTATATTCAATTCAATTCAATTTTATTTAAATAGCGCCAAATCACGACAAGAGTCACCTCAAGGCACTTCACATAATAAACATTCCAATTCAGGTCAGTTCATTAAGCCAATCAGAAAAAATGTGTCCTATATAAGGAACCCAGCAAATTGCATCAAGTCACTGGTTTACAGCAATCCTCATACTAAGCAAGCATATAGCGACAGTGGAGAGGAAAACTCCCTTTTAACAGGAAGAAACCTCCAGAGGACCCTGGCTCAGTATAAGGAGCCATCCTCCACGACTCACTGGGGATGGAGAAGACAGAGCAGACACACACACACACACACCTAAGGACAATTTAGACAGACCAATCAACCTAACAGTCATGCGTTTGGACTGTGGGAGGAAGCCGGAGTACCCGGAGAGAACCCACGCATGCACAGGGAGAACATGCAAACTCCATGCAGAAAAATCCCAGGCTGGGAAGCGAACCCAGGACCTTCTCGCTGCAAGGCAACAGCTCTAACCACTGCACCACCTCTTATATTATATTATATTATATTATATTATATTATATTATATTATATTATATTATATTATATTATATTATATTGTATTATATTATATTGTATTATATTATATTATATTATATTATATTATATTATATTATATTATATTATATTATATTATATTATATTATATTATATTATATTACATTATATTGTATTATATTATATTATATTATATTATATTATATTATATTATATTATATTACATTACATTATATTGTATTATATTGTATTATATTATATTATATTATATTATATTATATTAATATCCTTTTTTATATATCTACATTAGATAATTTCCTTTCTACAAGTTGGATTTGAATGCAAAACACAGAGGCAGAAAGTTCCCTATGGGGAGCTGCAGCTGTGGCTGCGCTCGGGAACTATTTAGTGGTTTAATTTACAGCTTGTGCTCAAATTTAAGTCTGTCTATAGTTTATTCATAAACTATGCTGGTTTGAGTCTGAATTTGATTGTCTTTTTTTTTCTGTGTTGAAAAAAAGGAATTTGACTAAATTTTTTCTCAACAGCCTGAAACCAAGTCCAAAAACCAAACCTAATTATTTCTTACATCTTTTTTAGATACCCAAAAGCACATTCTTTCATGGAAGATGATGACACTTAGAACAGAAATCTAGTTTTTCTGACACTCAGCGTCAAAAACAAACTGTTTTGAAAAAGGTAATTTTTTCCTACCAGCATAACGGTTCTAGCTGTTTGCTGTCAGAAACACTGGGGTTTATGGAGTAATTTGGCCTGAAAAAGCAATCGCTGTGTCTGTCAGTCAGAATCACTAAGCAAACAGACAACAACACTTTACAAATATCAAAAAGGACATAAGAAGCAAAACAAACCAAGACCAAAACTAAAGGTCACATTTGATCAAAACAAGGAAGATTTGATTAGACATGCTTTCTCTGGTCTACTTGTCTTTTAATGAAGTTTGTAGAAGCATCAGTTTAAAGATCCATCAAAGCTTCTATATCTGTTTTATATTATGGAAACGAGGGACTGGAATCGTTTCCTTTAGCTGTTGCTGTAAACGTCTCGTTGCTCCGTGTCCGTGTTTTACATGAAGCTCTGATGAAGCCAGTGGCCCTTAAGAAAGGTCATCGTGCACTCTGGGATCTTTTCAGTCATGGAGCAATAGAGCTGCTTGTGGTATTACGGTCGAGGCCTTGTACTGCATCAGGTAAAACACATCGTTTCTGTTTCCTGTGTCAGATCTCATTTAATGTGACCCACGGATGTCAAACGCAGACCCAGAGTTTGGCTTTGCTGCCTCAGCTGTCAGTTGTTCACGTGTGAAGGGGTGAGATGGCATTTTGGCACCAGTCTCTTTGGAGACCGGTCCTGATGCAGTTAAAGGCGAAGGGTCGAGTCGGGTGACGAGTCAGCCAAGGAGTATAAATGATGGCGTGGTTGCCAGGCTCTGCCAGAAATTGATTCTCCTTTCACATCCTCCTGTCAGCCTTTTCAAATCTGTCTGCTGTTGCCTGACTGCAGACATCTCTAACTGGATTCAGACACAATAACAACCCCACAGGCTGCTATAGTTGTTTTATGAAAGCCTGTTTCTGAGGCTAATGGGGGTTGTGGAGACATTTTGACTCTTCAAATATTTCCAGTCAGACTCCATCTACTACCATGGGCAATACCAAAGAGCTGTCCAAGGACACCAGGGACAAAATTGGGGACCTCCTCGAGGCTGGAAAGGGCTGCCAAGCAGCCTGGTGAAAATAGATCAACTGTTGAAGCGACTGTTAGAAAATGGAAGAGGCTAAAGATGACTGTCAGTCTCACTCGGACGGAGGATCCATGAAAGATCTCACCTGGTGGAGTATCACTGATGATAAGAAAGGTGAGGAACAGGGGCGGCGTTAGGCCCGGCTACTTGGGCTGAAGCCCCAGATCTTTCATGAAAAGCCCCGGATCTAAATCGCGGAAGTAACATGCAGTACCAAAGTCCAACAGAGAGGGCGCAGCTGGCAGTAGTTTGTATACAGCCTGTCTGAGCCTCCACCACTGAAGAAGAAGCCCTTCAGCAGCCGGCTTCTTCTACAGTCTCTATGCCTGAAACGCATGTGTGAAGATGGACATAAGGGCGTTTTTTGGACAAAAAGTAAGGCGACAGAACCCCAGCTTTGATGATGCTGGTGTTGACTCAGGTTTGTGAGTCTTATTTGAAAATATTTGTTGTGCTGCTGGTTTGCCTAAAGTTAGCTTACGATCAGGTAAAGTTGATGGAGAAAGAAAGGGAATATTTACTATCATCTCACACTAAACACTAACAGGAACAATACTCTGCCCTGAAAATGCTCAATATGTAGCTTCAGATTAAAAATTATGTGGTACAAGACAAATATGTATGATGTTGACTAGTGCGTGTCATGTGTGTGCGCGTGTGTGTGTGTGTTAAGCCCCGGATCTTCTTCAGTCCTAAATCCTCCCCTGGTGAGGAATCAAACCAGAGCTACATGGGAGGAGCCGGTCAATGGCTCAACAGGTTCAAAGGTCAGTGTAGGTAAAACATTGCATCGTCATGGTTTTAACCCTCCCACTGTCCTAATGGGTGTGACCCTGCATGGAAAGTTGACCATTAAGTAGGGTTGATGGTTTATTCATTGGGTCCATGTGGCAGGGGTGAGGAGTGAGCACCACCTCACCCCTGCCACATGGACCTCAAGGGATAAACCATCAACCCTGCTCAATGGTCAACATTCCTCGTGGAGTCACCCATAAAGACAGTGGGAGGGTTAAACCATATTCCCATGCTGAAGTCATCACATGTCCAGGTCAGATTGCCGCTCTCATATTTTCTTTCCAAATTTTCTTTTTCATTCTCCCAAGTCAAGTCCAGCCTGTGTGTATGAAACATGACGTGTCATGTCACGTGAGTCAAGAAGGCCACCATGGTTACCCAATCAGTGTTGCTTACAATTTAGTGGGCCAATACAGTTTAAGATTATTCTTGCGTGCAAGTTTAAATAAAAGTCCATGTTTTTTACTGGCCCCTAGGTTAAAGCCATATCTAGCCCGTGCATTAATCCGGACCTGGTCTAGGCCCATCTGCAGTTTGTCTATGACTACTGCATGATCCAGAGGAGGCATGGGAGAAAGTCATGTGGTCAAATGAGAACAAAATAGAACTTTTTGGTTTAAACTCCACTCCACGTGTTTGGAGGAAAACGAAGGAAGAGTTGCATCCCAAGAACACCACCTCTACTGTGAAGTGTGATCTCTTAAGTGGGAGAACTTGCAAAACTGCAGGGTGTTCAAAAACCTTTTTCCTCACATGCGTGAGTGCCAGTGTGCCACAAGAGAAATGTGGATGGTGGTGCTTTACCCGCATAATGACCATTAATCAGGACATGGCACGAGGCAGGGGTCGAGTCGGGTTTTCTGATTTCATAGCCAAACTGCACAGACCTGTCTTGTCCCCTCCATGGCTTCGTTGTCACGTCAGGGCAGAGACAGACATTGCCCGTGCTGTGTTTGGGACATCAACCAAAACGTTCTGATTCCACCATAATTAGGAGCTTGTTTAACTCGTTAGATCAGTGCGTGTTAATGTACATGTGCTTGTCACACTGGCGCTGGTGTGTTATTAACACAGCTCTGCTGGAGGCCTGCAGCTCTTCTCTGCTGGTATTTAATTAGTGTGAGACCTGTTCACACACGCAGGCTTGCTGCGAGTGGACAGACGGTTTTTCT